CCCCAAAACCCCAAAACCCCAAAACCCCAAAACCCCAAAACCCCTTTCCTCTATAATTTTATTGAAATAAAAATCATGCAAATCCCTGAGAACTTCAGTTCCAAAAGAATTAGGTTGCTTGTCAACCTCTGGCCTTAAAATTCTGGTGCAGAGTTACAAGTTCTTAAGCAGCCTCCCTTGCACATATTGTGTTAGCTTATGATCGTACGAATAGAAGCTAGGATCTCTGATCAGTTTAGATAGTTTCGTTCCTTGGATGTAGTACTGATTCTTGTTGAACTCTATATTAACAGTCAGTCTTATTCTCTGGACTACTTGGCTAGAATGGGTACATTACCTTTGAACTTCCTGAAAGCCGATTTGTTAAAGATCTATTGTAGATTATTAGCTTAAGAATAGAACTTACCCTAGCCAAAATGTTATTGTTTAGGTTGAGATGTTTGCTAGCACCATTACTTTCTTTGTCTAGTTCAAAATTAGCAGGTTTAATAGCTTGAGAATTATATTCCTGGCTACTAAGATTTCTTGTCTTGCGTTTAAGTCCAAGAAATTGAAGATCCATGTTATATCTCTCTGTATTTCTATCAAGACTCTTCTTTTTCTTAACCATGTCTTTTCTTGAACTATATACTATATCTCTCCCTTTAATTATTAAGCGAGACGTCAGTTCTTGGTCGTTAAGCCTGGCTGTAGAGTTTGAGAGTCTCGATCTGATTTTATTTTCTATGCTTCTTTTTGTATATAGAATTCGCTGCAGGTACTTTAAGAATGCTTGATAGCACCATGGTTTCTACGAATTAGAAAAACCTTACTTTTATTTTGGCATAAATCTGAGCTCTTTATAATCATTTGCAAAGCTTCGATGGGAGGTATTTTTAGTCTTGTGCAAAATCCCCCTGTTGGATAAAGGAGGAGAGTGAGGCTCTTCCATTAGAGAACTCCCAAAAATCTTGTAATTAGAATAATCCTTATTCAAAAACTCGCCTCTTTCTTTGATCTAAAGTCTGTGAAATATTTTTCCTACCTTTTTGCACACTATAAAATTACCAAAATTTGCAACTATCAATTATCCAAACAATGAGAAATATTTAGCAAAAATGAATAATCAATTTTTTTGAGAAATATTTTATTAGGCTGTTAGAATTAATTGAAGTAATTAATATTACCGCCTCTCTCTGCTCCCTCAAACCCAATGGCATTAAAAAATGCAATTTTTTCTTTGAAATTTTCACTAGAACCTCCCATACTCCTTACTCGAACTATGCGTTGCCTCAAAATATCCTTTCACTCTTGCTCCATCCCTTATCCGCTTCCTATAATCCATCACTCTAATATAGCATTCTCTATAATAGACTTAAGCTAAATTATACGAACATATAAAATAGTACTAAACCCATCCGAAATAATTCCTTCCTAGTAACAATTAAGCCCCCATTCATAAGCCAAACCCCCACTCCCACCTATTAAACATCCAAATCACTCTCTTCTGGTCCAAACAACACTCTAACCCCCCCATCTACTCCATAAGTACCTATCCTTCAGTTGTGCATCCTCGTATTCTGAAACTTCCAGATCCTTGTTCATATTTCCTGTATAAATAATTCAATTATTTTGTATTTTTTAGGGGTTTTGGGGTTTTGGGGTTTTGGGGTTTTGGGG